TTAGCCCCAGGTAGCATTAGCAGCAGGTAGCATTAGCAGCAGGTAGCATTAGCCCCAGGTAGCATTAGCAGCAGGTAGCATTAGCTGCAGGTAGCTTTAGCCCCAAGTAGCATTAGCAGCAGGTAGCATTAGCAGCAGGTAGCATTAGCAGCTTGTAGCATTAGCCCCTGGTTGCATTAGCAGCTTGTAGCGTTAGCTGATTAGCCAGGTTGTTGAATGTTTTTGGGGTGGGGGGGTCAGCTGAGTTTATCTTTTTCTCTTTCTTATTTTTGCCTAAAATCTTTGGTGAATATTAACTTAAAGTGTTTTTTTTGGTGGACAGAAGCAGGACATCGGGTCCAGACCCGGTTTGGACCCGATTTCCTCAGCCTGGTTCCTCCTCATGTCTCCTTCTTGTCTCCCTCTCAGCTCTCTGACGGTCTGAGGAGAACCGACTCCTTCCTCTGGCAGTTCCGCTCCCTGCAGCTCTCCCTGATGCTCTGCTCCTTCGTCTCCGTGGTGGGCGGGGCTTTCTTCCTGGCCACCGCCCTTTTCATCGAGGGGGACCGCGACCGGGCGGAGAACTACGTCCCGACAGGTGAGTCTCACCTGCTGGCTGTAAATCAGCACCGATGGCTCGCAGCAGAACCTTCTTCCAGAGCGAGCCGCCCGGTCCGGGTTCTTCGGCTCTCCATAACCACTATTGAGCATTTTCACCATGGATGAAATTTACATGCACTAGTGCACTTTCATAATCAACTACAGGTGTTTGGTTCCAGGAACTCAGAGATTCACTTCCACACAGAAAGTCCATATTCTGATCTTCAGGTAACACAGAGTACATGTCAGATTAAATAATACTACTGATACTTCAGCGATAGTATCAAGGTGATACTTTATTCTATGTCTGCTGGTTGTTCTGTTCTTTTTCCGTCTCTTTGCAGGTGATGAAGCAGAATGAAGATGTTTTATTATTATCTTCCTTTTATCTCCTCTTTCTTTCATCTTTTCTCCTTTTCCCTGTTTTCCTCTTCTGTTCTACTTCCATTGCAGTGTCCATATAATCTGTAAAACTCCCTGCATAATTATAATAAAGTTATTTCTATGCATAAATCCAGCGGATCACCATGGCGATAGCCGTACTGCTCCACCAGTGGATAATTATTCTGATCTCCAGACGGGAAACTGTTAAAAAAAGAACCTTCTTCCCATGAAGCGGACCTCCTGAATAACCCCGGTTGTCCTGTTGTTCCCCAGCAGACGAGCCGATCGTGGTGCCGAGAAGTGGGCGGTCCACTCGTGTTCCGGTGTCCAGCGTTCTGATCTGAGGCTCCGCCCCCTGCAGCCTATTGGACAATCTTCCACAGAGAAGCAGCTTTGTTTTAGACGGATCGCTCATAAAGCAGCCGACATCCAGGAGTCAAGTCCGGTTGTCCGGGAGACGGAACCAGAGGCGGCCCGGTTGATCGGTTCCATCAGAATCTGATGTGGGCCCGGTGCTGCCAGAACCACGTCGCTTTGTTTTATAACTTTATTAATCTCTGTTACAAGCAGGTTAGTTTTATTAGAAGGTTCTGACCCGGCCCGGGATGATTCCGCTGTTTGGACCCAGAACATTTCTACTCTTATTATTTAAACATAAGCTTTTAATTCATGTTTAATTGATTTTATTCATTTTTTGTTAACTTTGAAATAAAAAGTTCTGCTCAGAGGCTCGTTTGGATTCTTGACCTGAAAAACTCGGTTCCTCTCCTCTTTTCATGAATCAACCGACAACTTTAATAGATTATAGAAAATAATTAGTAGAAAAAACATATAAACGCTTAAAACTATGATGGAAACCTTTATAAGAAAGCATTTTATGTTTATTAACTTTGTTATTTAATAAATGGTTTAAATGGAAATGGTTTAGCAGTGATGGGTGGAGCCCAAACGCTGCATCAGCGCGCGTGGTTTCCAGGAAGTCATGTGACCGATCCAGGCGCTGTTTCTGACTCACTAAACTGGGTTTAAAATCTGTCACCATGATGCATCTGCTAAAATAAAGTCTCATCTTTTGCAGTTTATCGTTAAAATGATCCAGAATTTTGGAGGCTTAAAGGAATAGAAACCATTCAGCCATTTTTATTTTCTCGTTTCATCCTCATTCGCTCAACTGATCTGAATTAAAGTTCATTTCAAATTGACTCTGAGTTTATTTACTGTTTTTACTGTATGTATTGTTTTAAAATTATGATTTAGAATCCTAGTCCAGCAGCTTCGTTCACATTTTCCCATTATGATAAATGTTTTATTCATTGGCTGCATCTAATAATATCAAAGATATTTTAAATTTAAACATGGATATGAAATAATAGAATATAACTTCAATGAAATCTAATTAATTCAGTTTATTCTGTCCAATCAGCTGCCTGTAGTGTCTTTAAATGTCCAGCAGGTGTCAGTATTCTGAGAGACAGAATCAACGCAGCATCACTTAGTTTGGCATCAGGATGCCTCACTAGTCACCAGTCATTAACCATAACTAGTCATTAACCATCACCACTG